ACCCTGCTGTCTGCTACCTGTGGGCCAACTCTGCCTGTCTTGCCTGAGGGAAGACTCCACTTTCTGCTTCCTTGAACTTGGACCAGCAGCCCATGACTTGAGTTGAAGGACCTTTAGTATATTAACCGTTCTGAGAAAGTGGGTAGAATTGAACCCTCTGTATGCTATGTGCACCAATCATCCATTATATTCCTTCTTGCTCCATAAACCTATCCATATATATGAATATATATCCTGATTTTGTTTCTCTAGAAAGCCCTGCCTAACACACTTGGGTCACTATAAAAATTGCCACAAAGTGAACGGCTTAAAATAGTGGTTTGTAACCTTCCTAATGCCGCGACTCAGTTCCTCATGTTGTGGTGACCCCCCCACCCCAACCATAAAATTATTTTCATTGCTACTTCATAACTGTCATTTTGCTACTGCTATGAATCGTGCAACCCCTGTGAAAGGGTCATTCGACCCCCAAAGGGGTCTCGACCCACAGGTTGAGAACTACTGGCTTAAAACAATAGAAATGTATTCTCTCACAGTTCTAAAGTCTAGAAATCCAAAATCATAGTGTTAGGCTGACCATGCTCACTCTGATGGTTCTTACAACTTCTAGTAGTCCTGAGTCTTCATTGGCTTGTGACATCAGAACTTCAATCTCTGCCTCCATCGTGCCTGCCTTCCTGTGTCTTTGCTCCTCTTTTTGTAAGAACATCTCATTTATTGTGTTACAGCCCCCCCAACTTCAGGATGTCGCTATGTTAACTAAGTACACCTGCAACACACTACTCTCAAATAAAGTCATATCTTGAGGCTCCAGAAGAGACATGAGTTTGGAGAGGACATTCTCCAACCTGGGACAAACATGCTAAGATTTTGGAACCCGTTAAGGTAACTGTGATTCTTCACCACATTTTAACTGCAAGATCTAGAAAAGGTACAATAAATGTGCAAATCCTCAGTTCACTCCTCATAATGAAAGCAAGCAAAATCCTCACTTGAGCTAACTGTGAAGAATTTTTAAAATGGAGTATGTGCAGGACTTAGAGTATTATGCATACTACATATATGCACTACATTTGGTAATGCATATAATACTCTCTAAGCACTGGGCTGCTCACCAAAAACTTGGTGATTTGAACCTTGGGGGCTGCTGCAGGAGGGAAACACCTGGAGATTTTCTCCCATGAAAACACAGCCTAGGAGAACTTATGAAGCCATTTAATGCTGTCTTTTGCTGCCACTATAGGTTGAAAGCACACTTTACTTGATGACGTGCAATAATGACAATCTATAGTTTAATTTTTTTATATCCACCTCTGATCCCTGATTTTTATCCTGAGAAAACAGGGACGTTGGCCTTCATTAAAGTAGCTGGTTGGGGGGTTGTTTGTTTGTTTTCTGCTTGTAATAAATGTCTTATGGGTTTTGTATTTTTTAACTAGTAGATTTATTTACTACACAGGATATACCATTCTTCCAGGGTGATTTTTTGCTTTATTTATTTTTATTGCCCTACTTTTCTGGGGTTTTAGTTTCAATGATAGACTCTGGACCTCAGCATCTGGTAATAATTTATAAATCTAAGTAACTGTCATGATACAGAGGAAACATAAAGGTTTGCTTTTGTTCTCTACATGTTTTCTTATCATTGGGGAGAAGGTAAGTTTGATTTTTCCATTGAATATTTTAAAATATTTGACTCTTTTAAAAATAATCCTTTCTCACAGTATGAACACCAACATTTCAGCAAAATGCTTATGAAACATATAATGCAACAAATTCTTCTTTGGTTTTCAGAAATCTTCATCCCCCAAGAAGCTGGGACAGTACCAGGCACATAATATGGATTCAGTAAACATTGTTGAAGGAATATAAAAAGATGTGTATGAAAATATTGATAAAAATTAAATGAACAAAATCATATACCACCTAATGAAATATGTATGTTCAACATTTAAACACTAGCAAAACTTAGACACTAAGGCACCGCATTTCACAGAGAAGTTAAAAGGTAAAGATCAATGCCAACTCTTCTGGATGAATGAAGGGCACACATATAATGAGTGGTAATGCTACATTTTAGAGAGCATATCTAGGTGGAACACGTGGTTAAGTGCTTGGTTGTTAAATGAAAGGCTAAAGGTCCAAACCCACTCACGGGTGTATGATAAGAAAAGTCTAATAGCCAACTTCTGAAAGGTGGCAGCCATGAAAATCTTTTTTCCCCCTCAAACCAACGGACGTACATTATTTATTGCTAAATTCTCGATGCATAAAAACCAAGAAAGAAGTCAGATATTTTCCAAGACAAGTTCAAGTGATCGAATGGTGGCAGAGTCTTAAATTCAGCGAGGCAGACCCCTAGTGAGCCGGGGTAAAAGCAACTGTGAGTGCCGTTACTCGGGAGGCTTCTTACATAGCCAGCTTGCTTCTTCTCCGGTGTCTTCTCTGAGAGTTGGACTTGATCTTATTACCAGTATTCCTTCTAAGCCATTGGAGATTGGGCTTCTTCTGCTTTTGTTTCTTGGCCAGGAATCTCTTGATCCTGAAAATTTTATGAATTGACATTGTGAAGAAGAAAACCTACCACATACAGGATTGTGGAGAAACGGGAGAGGAGGATACTGTGGAAATCATAAGGATCACAGTTCTAAACTGCATTTCATGGGGGTACCATCCATTGGAAGTGATTTGACAGTGACTGGCTTTTTGATATAAATTGAAGGATAAAATTAATGGTAAACACAATGCAGGATCTGCTTAGCTCCACAAGTTACACTATCGTCATCACAGCAGTTATGTCGGGTTTACTGTGAGCCAAGTCTTCTGAGGACTTTACAAGTTTTAACTCAGTTAATCCTGGTTGCACCCCTGATGTTCCAGTCCCATTCCCCAGAGGAGAAAACTGAAGCCCAGAAAGATTTAGTAACCTACCCAAGATCACATAGTAAGTGCAGAGCCAGAATGTGAAACTTGCCCTTCAGGCTCCAAGGCCTGTGTAGTGCGTACACGTATGGTTCTTCCCTGTCAAGTGAGCATCACCATCTATGTGTTCATTGTCCTTTCTTCACTGAGTGAGCCTGGATGGATGCAGTCCACACCTGTGCATGTTTTCTTGTATTATTAGTCCCATCGTCTCACAGTGGAAGCAAAAAACATTAACCCATCCACACGGCTTGTCTGCCTCTCGTAAAAGTCCAACCCATCATGGGCATTTCATTTGACTATGCTGCCAACCCTGGACCTTCTGTTGTCCCTCTGAGCAACCTGCTAACCTTCTAATACTGCCATTAACCGCTTTAAAAAGACCAAGCTCTTACACACTGCTGGTGAGTCCTCTGGAAAGGTGTTGTGAGGGAAACCTGTTTTCCACTTGACAAAAAGATGGCACTTACCAAAAAAAAGCATGTTAAAGAACACAGAGGACAATGACAAGATGTTCTGAGACCATTAAGTTCAGAAATAAGAAGGAAATCAGGTGGTTTTAAGATATATCAAAATAAAGTTATTTTTACTTGTTTATTTAACAAATATTTATTAAGCACACACTAGTGCCAGACACATACAATGGGGCTCCAAAGTGTTGGCAAAGATTTTTTCTTTATCGTTCAATTCCACTTTCCACATATTCTTTGAAACCGGCTCCTATTGGAGCTAACACATTAAAAAAATTTTTGATACTCATTCTCATGGAAGTTGCAGTCTAGTGGAGAAGTCAGACATTAAACAAACAGTAAACTAGTGACCAGAGTATTGATTATTGGATAGTATCATCATGGCCGGTTACTTTAAAGCTTTAACTTTAAGACAAATGGAATTTAGAAATTTCTACACCACTCCTCAAAATATTTTTTTATTAAAGGACATATATATGTATGTGTAAGTTTGTGTGCAATCATGGAAAAACTACAGTATCTTATGATCCCACATTTACATGAGCTTTATTATATATATATATAATATATATATATGTAAAAAACTTCCAAAGTTGAATTTTGTCTTTTCTTTTGATTTTGGACCACTTCACCCCAGTAGCAACAACAGAATACCAAGATATACATGTAATGAGGAATCGTGTAGCATCTAAGTGAATGAAGACATGTAAGTTGTGGTACTTACATAATTTGTTGTAAACTTAAGACTTAAGAGTGAAGGGGTCGAGTTTATCCTGTCATTCAGGTCGCAGCTGGATGACCTCATTTGGACGTGCTAAGGAGATAAATAACTCGCTGGAGGCGGAACACTCACTTACTCCCTGTGAGACATTTTTGCTGACAAGACACATAGAGCTGTGCTAGAGCCCTGGAGCTGAAGGAGCCATGTGACGACCCCTGCCAGCACTGAGATGCCTTCACTGCCACTGGATCCACAAACTTTCCACCCACTGGCCTTCAGTGTCATTGCATGTATTTCATGAGTCTGAAGAGGACTTTATAGATTGGTATCGGACATATGGGCTAATATTGGACTTATGGACTTGATCTGGACTGGGCTGGGATGTTTCTCAATATACAATTGGTCTTTTATATAAAATTATTTCTTATACACATATGAGTGTCTATGAATTTGTTTCTCTAGGCAACATAGACTAACACAGATGTCTACAAAGTAAATTTAAAAGATCAATCTACATCATCATCAAAATTCTTGTAATACATGCTAGTACATTATCAGTTTTTCATTCTAAACTTTGTTCCAGGTACTCATTTGAGAGTTTTGCTTGTACCCTCTCATTGAACCTGATCACAACCCTTTACATGCTGCAATATAAAGAGTCTTGTCAGTTTATACACTGTCCATGCTCCTTGCATGAAGATGAATCTGAATACACTTAAGGGAGGACCCTGCTATAAAATAATAAGCACACACAATATATGTACTTATGTGTATGTATATATATATAAATGTTTATGCATTACTATATATGTTTTCAAATATATCAGTTTTAATATAGTGTATATATATATTTATTCATTTGTACATTAGCTTTCACATATATTGACTTTCATATACATAAATTTATATGAATATATATTCATATAAACAGCTCCTTGCATCCTTCCAAAGGGTACATGACTCTTTACTCATCTTTGAAATGAGAAAAAGATATACCCAGATTGTTTAGAGCTGGTTAGACACTAGCTCTGAGCTAACAGTAATTTTTTGAAGGCCCAGAATGCTATTCAGACCTACCAATGAAAGTGAAGCATTACATAAATGAGATGATGCTAACAGATACCAGTCACGTCAGCCAAATAGAAAAGGGAGGAGTCCGTGAGATGATGGCCATTAGTCACTTTCGGGTCTGGAACTGAATTCACTCCCTGGTTTGACTTTCAGCCAGATCATGGACAGATCTATATGGGGAATAATAACACTGGTGAGGTAAGCATACCTTATAATCAACCATTTGAGCTCACAAGGGCAATATGTACCCAAGGATGGTTCAGAAGGCGAGAACAGAAAAAGGAATGGAAAGAGAAAACACAAGGAGGAAATGGGATAGGTGATGTTACCTTGGGGGGATTGCAATGATTGGAATGACTGGAATGACGGATGAATTGCTGAATGTAAAACCGATCATTTGTTCTGTAAATCTTCACCCAATTTACAGCAAAAGGGTTTAAATAGCAACTTAGATAGTAAGTAGATCTGTGGACCCATCTTGGGGTTATGACCTCAGTTCTTGAATGAATAACGGAAATAGACAGGCTTAAAACTGGGGCCATGAAGTGAGAAACTCCCAAGTGTTCACTGTGAAGCTGCATTCTATGTCGCCACACAAGCTAGCAGCCCAGAAGCAAGATCACAGATCGCAGATGGAATCCTAGGGAGAAGTGGCATCATCGAAAACCTAAAAGGCAAAGAAAGATTGGTTTTTGTTGCATGCCATTTAATTATCATCTTTGGTTTATGCCAAAAGAAGATTCAGCTTGAAAAAGTATTCTGGATTATTGTAAGCTTAGTCAGGTAATGTGAAATGGCTCTGTGGTTCTAAAAGCCATCTCACTATTGAAGTAAATGAACGTGACTCTTTCTTTCCCAATTACAACATTTCGCTAGAAGCTATCTGCTTTCATCTGGAAAGTAAGTTCACCATCTTATCTCAGGGCTCCATCTGTTTTCTGACTCTGCTTCATAATTTAGTCCACAGAGACCTTGATCACATCACAATTGCATGAGACATAATGGCAAAAGCAGGTATCCTATATCTCTTGATGAAGAGCAAAGTGACAGAGAGTAGGAGATAAAATAATTCTAAGATTTGTCATCACATTGAATGTCCAGAAGTTCGGATTGTTTGAGTCTTATCAGGAGAATTGTGCAGAAGCACAAGAAAATATGCTGCATCTTGAAACCACTACACGAAAAAAACACGATAGATTTGTGAGGCCTTTCTGGATTTCAGAGGCGCAATATGCTGTAATGACTTGTGCTGGTTGTCTTTATTTACCAAGAACACATTAAACATCACCTTTTAGGGAGGCCTAGGACAAGAGAATGCTCTCCAGATAGTCCAGGTTGGACATTGTGACACAGCAATCCACTAATGTTCAAAGTGCTTGAGGCAGAGTGGCAGGGCCCTTCAGAGCCTTCAGCAAACCCTAATCGTAAAATAATGGTCCACACTAATAGAGCTTTGAAACAAGGTTATGTTCCCAACAAAATAATACTTGTCTTTTTGAGATTCAGTCCCTAACTTACTTCTGCATCCAGCTGGACTGAAGACTTGACTATGGGACAAGTAGCCATGTGCTCGCAGTTGACATCCAGAACCGGGTGTTCTCTGATACCAAGCCATAAAATGACATGTGGACAGCACTCCAGCATGTTGGGCTCCAGCTCCATGAAGGGTTCTTTATAGGCAATGGACTGAAAAGAAAAAAAATGGAACCCAGCTTATTGACTATTTTGCACAACACTTTATAGCGATCATAAGTGGACTTCTGGACAATGGCAACTACACTTTGTGAAAAATAATAGAAGAACAAAATCATCCTATTTGACAGACTGTGAGGCAACATATCTGGTGCTCCACTTTGTCTAGGATAAGTATCTAGGCACTGATCTATATTGGCTTATGGCAGATGGTTAATGGTTTGGCCACATCATCATGGGTTTGAAAAGCACTAGAGAAAATGTTAGTGGCAAGGGCATTTGGAGAATGAACATTTGAATGTATATATATAAAGGGCCCAGCGGGTGGGATGGGAGTCCTCAGGATGGGTGTGCAGAGGAAGAGCACAATGATTATCCCAGCTATGTCAGTGCTTTCTGGATGGGCTCATGGACAAAGTAGCCACATAGCATAAATGGGGGGAGCACATGGATTTCCCTTTTCCAAGGCTGATCTATCAGACCTCATTATTCAAAGGATCCAGCCAGCCACCAAGTAACACCTTAATTATAACTAAACAAAAAACAAAAAACCATCAAGCTTATTCCATCAAGTCTATTCCAAATCAGTGACCCTACAGGACAGGGTAGAAGTGCCCATGTGGGTTTACTCTTCCTGGGAGTAGAAAGCTTCATCTTTCTCTCTCAGAGCCCCTGGTGGTTTCAAATTGCTGACCTTGCATTTAGTAACCAAATGCATAACCACTACACCACCAAGGCTACAGTTAAAACTCATTCTTTTATCAAATGTGTTCCCTGAATAGGTGAATATAGATGTTTCCTGTGCTACCCACCATACTTCCACCAACAATTCTCCAAGTACTTAATGATGCAGGATTCACAAACACAATACCCAACACATTCTACGTATTACTTCTGATCAAGAAACTGATGGTATAACAAATGAAGTGAAGCAATGGTATGATACTCAAAGAATTTACCAAGTATGCTGTATACTATGTTTTCAGTACAGGATGGTCTTAAATAAAGATGAAATGGCTTCCTGAAGGCTCAATTGAAGCAACAACAGAAGAGCCATACCTTGCAAAGTTAAGATACTGTCCTATTCCTGGGGTATATGCTCTGAACCAGCAGATAATATACAGTGCTCTTTTGTTTTGTTTTTATTACTGGAAAATATTGATCATCATCCAAAGGATGAAGGCGAATCTGGCATTTCTCATTTTTCCAATTAATAATGCACCTGTAAACTATTGTCTGCTTTCTATACCTACAAGGATTGGTTTCCTTTGTGTCTCAGACTGAGTTCTCAAAAAAATGAAAATCAGAAAAGAGTGAGATGAAGATCTTACTAATGAAAACCAAAGACTGCATGGATTATACCTAACCAAAAAGAAAGCAAAAATTTCATAATTGGACCAATAAGCAACATGATGATAAACAGAGAAAATGTTACAGTTGTCCTGGATTTTATTTTACTTGGATCCACAATCAACATATTTGAAGGCAGCAGTCAAGAACTTCAAATAATATATTACATTGGGAAAATCAGTTATAAAAGCAGATTTCTTTAAGGTATGCACAAGAAAATATATCACTTTGAAGGCTTAAGTGTGCCAGACCCAAGTCACTTCACATGCATGTGAAAATTGGACAACAAATAAGTAAGCCTGAAGAATAGATGTTTTAAATGATGGTGCTGGTGAAGAATATTGAATAGATCATGAACTGCCAGAAGAATAAATAAATCTGTTTTGGAAGAAGTACATTCAGAGTGTTCCTCAGAAAAGAAGATGGCTGGATTTTGTCTCAAGTTTTTGGACATGTTATTAGAAGAAATCAGTCCCTGCAGAAGGAGATATTGATTAATAAAGTAGAAGGTCAATGAAAAAGAGGATGACTCTCAGTGAGATGGATGGACATACTGTTGATGTTGTTAAAGGCTGTTGAGTTGCTGTGTACTCATAGTGACCCTGCGTTGAACAGAAAGAAACTCTGTCTAGTCCTGCACCTTCCTCACAAACATTAGGCGATGTTTTGTCCTCTTGTCACTGTGAGTCCAAACCAACTCAACAGCACTTAACATCAACAAGAGCAATGTGTGTGTGTGTGTGTGTGTGTGTGCATATGTGTGTGTGTGTATATATGCACACATACAAGTATAACAAAACAAGAAAGAAAGTTGAGGTTCTTTGCCCAATGTCATGATCCAACCCTTAATTTCAATATGGTCTTGGCTATTAGTAGTCATGTCAAAATTGGGCTGCTATTGTTCCCCATTGACTTTAATCACAAGGGATGAGAGTATTAACAGGACATCCTAAGGGAGCTCCTATATTCCAGGTATGCTCCCCTTTGCCTCCATTGCGTAATATTTGTCAAATGTCTCCATAGTAATCAGAATCAATCACATCAGGCAATATGGTAACTATATTTTTTGCCCATTCATTCAGAGGCAATAAAGAGGCCAAAATGGCCAGATAAAATTCTTAACTCCCCGTTAAATGGAATAAGTGTTGTAATTACTGGTAAAAGCATTCCTACTTTTGGAACTAAGACCTCTAAATCCAGAGAACAAAGGGTCACAGAGGCAAACAATGAAAAAAAATTGTGAGTGGGTCACTGGCAGTAAAAGAAAGTAGCATCACTCCCATTTTCACCCTTTGATTCCTGGACCCATAAGTCCTATTATTAAAGATACAGCACCATATATTGGACACTGGCTTAGAGCCTACATAGGCTCCTAGAGAACATTACCCCAACCCTGCAAGGTATTTCCACTTCTATTCTCATAAGAGTTACAGTCTTGGAAACTCACAGGGAGGTTATACTCTATCCTATAGGGTTGTTTTGAGTAGGCATCGACTCAATAGCAATGAGTTTGGTTTTTCGGTTTGGGGAACCATAGTAATTGTGTCTTCAGAAAGCCATTTAATCATACTGTCAAGTTAGCCACTTCTCATAGTTGTATTATTGAGTTCTGTGATCATGAACCCAATGCCACACTTCATTTGCTGTGAAATAAATTCATTGATCTAAGGTCATGTATAAGATTCCATGATGGTGAAGAGGCATTTATAAACCACTTCCTCCTATATTTTACTTGTGTTCAAACCCAATCCTGTATATCCTACTTCCATTTAACAATGGAATGCTACTATGCATGTTCAAATTTATGACTCTGTGGGTCAAAAACACCCAGTTCAAGATGGGCAGTTCAGGCCACATGATGACGTAGTATCCTATGGTTCTGTCTCTTTTAAGGCCCAGACACTCTTTCTCAAAAAGACAATAGTTATTTGAAGAATATGGTAAACTTTCCTCCAAAATCCTAATGGTCTGCATTGTGATTCACCAATAGATGCCTGACAAAGACACCTAAGAGCATATATACTTGCCACTGACACTTCAATGTCAGCCAAACCATATGTCCCAAGTTGCAAGTAGCTAGCACATCAGCAAGAACTTGTTTCAGAACCCTCTCTTATTCTGGACCCTGCTCAAAACTAGAAGCTTTTAAATCATTCAATAAATAGACTAGAGTAAAACACTCAAATGAGGGATGGATGTGTTGCTTTGAAAATCCAAAGAAACTCACTAGACATTGCACTTTCTTTTTAGTTGTAGGGAGGGCCAAGTACAACAATGTATTTTTTGCATTAGAAGGAATTTTTTTACATACCCCACATTACTGGACCCTAGAAAATTCACTGAGGTGGAAGGCATCATCCTTATTAATTTCCCACTCACAAGTATGCAAATTTATTACCTCTAAGCCTAGAGTCATTGATGCACCTTCTTTTCTGAGTCCAATCCACATGTAGTAATCAATTTCATAGACTAGTGTGATGTTTTTTGGAAGGGAAATGTGATCAAATTCCTCGCAGACTAAATTATGACAAGGCTGGAGAGTTGAAATACCTTGAGGTAGGGCAGTGCAGGTGTATTGCTATTCTTGCTAGCTGAAGACAAACTTCTGGTTATCTTTGAAACTGCTATTGAAAAAAAAGGCATTGGCCTGATCAATTGCTCAATACCAGTTACCAGGCGATCCATTAATTTGCTTAAACAATGAAACCATATCTAGACTAACAACTGCAACTAAAGTAAGCACCTGAAAAAATTTATATTATCAACTCTCATTCTCCAAAATAGCTGTCTGTCTATCTATTTATCTATCTATTTTTTCACAGGATGAACAGGTGAATTGAATGAGAATGTGGTCATAATGACTCCCTTGTGTCCTTTGAGTCCTTGATGGTGACACTAATCTCTGCAAACCCTTCAAGGATGTGATGTTGCTCTTGATTTACTATTTTTCTAGGTAGGAACAGTTCTCATGGCTTCCATTTGGCTTTTCCTACCATAACATCCCTTACTCCACATCTCAGGGATCCAATGTGGCAGTCTTTCTAGTTGTGTCTATATATTACAATTATGCATTCTAGAACGGGGAAACCACTACAGGATGAGTTTAGGGATCGCTGGATTCACTGAGAGATAGACCTAAGCTACAATTTCATTAATAATCAGACCTCTATATGTCCCTACTGACTGGTGGAGCACAGTGATGTTTTGGGGTTCCTAGGATTAATGTCAGATTAGAACCAGTGTCCAGTGATCATCAAAATGTCTGATTATTTTCTGATCAATAAACATTCACTCTAGTAAAAGAATTTAGATCATTTTAGGGAAGTCTGGGAAAATATTTCTAGTAGTGCAATGGGTCCTTCTTCAAGGGCATCTGGCCTCTCCCTCATTCCAGGCATCATGGGTCTGTAAACTGGCTCTCAAGACTTGGAATTAACTGAAGGACTATGACTTTTATACCTAGGGAGGAGTACTTCCAGTGGAGAAGGCAGCAATGGTACAATAATCTGTAACTTGAAACTGCTCCCTCTCTACAACCATGGGTGCTCTTCTCAATCATCCCAGAGAAGGCATTTGTTTGGCAGTTTAGTTGTAAGTAGAGGCAGTTATGGATTACGTACTAGCATTTGTTTTTGTTTATTTTA